ACACACACACACACACACACACACACACACACACACACACACACACACACACAAACTAACTCAGATTCTAAGCAAACATTTTTGTGGTAGTATCTGAGAGTCATCCTCAAAACACGCTGTATCAGATCTCACAAGAGCTCACAAATTTGCACAAGTTTAGTTTAAAATCCTGGCATGAAAGTTGGCAAGCAAAAAGTTTACTTTTAAAGTGGACGTATCGTTCTTTCAATTTCTTCTTTTTCACATTTAAATCATTTAGTCGGGGTCTATATAAAGTGGAACTGCAATATTTTGGTCTGAATTCCTCCTTATCGTAACTCCACAAGCCCCTCTTTCACCACTTTTCTGAGGTGTGTCTTAAAGCAACTCATTTTAAGGCTGTCTCTTTAAATCCAAGCTAGTCACTTCACACTTATGCTGCGTTCCAGTTGTATCAGAACTCGAAATTCTGAAGCCGGACTGACGTCAGTTCCGAGCTGATAGCGTTCCAGTTTCAAACATCGGAAAAAGCGTTTCTACAATACAACAAAACAATAAAACGTACAATAATAGTGCTCTACAAGGTAGTTTGAGTGTACAAACAGTGTTAAAACATAAATTTTAACTATCATTATAAAGCACTACAAATACGTCTGACGTAATGTAAAATAAACAACACAAAAGCCGCGTTTGTTTACATGCAACACTAGCAACGTTGGCGGTTAGCTTGGACAAGCATGCTAGTACGCTACATGCGTTATACAAATATAAAAAGGGAAAATAAACAAACAAATTACACTCGTTTTTATTCTGCCTCCTCTCTTCTTACTTTCTGTCTGTTAAATAAAGGGGATGGTGCTTGTGTACGTTTGATTACAGCTCAACATTAGCCGTTAGCTTAGAGAAACATGTGCACAGCAGCCATGTTGAAATGATGACGTAACGCATGCTCGGGCTGCTCGGGTATGGTTTGGATGCGCCGACCCCTCGACTCGAAACTACGACTTCAGGGGGCGTTCCAGTTGAAAAAATAGAACTCGGAGGCTGGAAGCTATGACCTTCGAGGACAACTGAAACGCAGCAATAATCTCACCCAGCTTCCAGAGCAAATCATTGTAGTTTGATAAAGGGTTTTATGACTAAATAGCAACGCAGAAACCTTTTATTTTATTCGTTTTTTACAAATTAAATAAAAGATTAATCCAGTCGTAGACGTTGGAGCCAGATGAGAAGGAAGATGACCAAACTGTAGTTGGTAAATCCAGGGCTTATTTGGCAGTTCCGTTGCAGATACTGTGTTGTAATAGTTCAGAAAACGTCATAGAAAATATAGAAAACTGAATGGGTTGAAAAATAAGGCCCAAACAGAATATAAAGAGACTAAATTTAAATTTTCTGCACTCCTAAAGCTCCAAGTACACAACAAAATGTAGATAATGGATAAAAACGTGGATTTTTCCTGATATGTCCCCTTTAAGAAATGTTTTGCATTTAATATTGAATAAATTTAGATTTATAATAAAGCCTTCCAATGCCTCAGTCTTCTCAGGAAGGTATTTGATTAGGTATTTTAATGTTAGCAAAACTATTTTAATCATGGTCTACCGGTCACTTATAGCGAGTCCAACCTTCAGTATCACATCTTGGTGCAGCTTCAGTACAAGCAAAGACACCATCCTAACTCTCAAGCCAGCAAAATAACTGGTTTCACTACCAGTTTCACTGTCTCGTGTGTGAGCGCTCTATGATCAGGAGAGGACTTCTCTCATTCCCTCCATCACTCACTCACGCTCCTCCCACACAGTAAATTTTGCAGTGTTAAATCAACACTTAAAGAGATAAATTTAACACTGTGTCTGAGTCTATTTGGTCTTTATCTGAATTGGTGTCAATTTAACTCTTTCCATAGTGTTACATTTTCAGCGTACAATTTAAATCTAAAGAGAGTTAAAAATTAACACTGATTAACACTGCACAGTGTTAATAAAACTTAATACTGCACAGTGTTAATAAAACTTAACACTTTACAGTGTTAATAAAACTTAACACTGGACAGTGTTAATAAAACTTAATACTGGACAGTGTTAATAAAACTTAATACTGCACAGTGTTAATAAAACTTAATACTGCACAGTGTTAATAAAACTTAACACTTCAAGTCAAATAACTCTGATGAGAATAATTATGATTCTAAGCAGAGTTAATAAGGTACTCCACTGTGGTGACAAATCAACTCTGATTCTCATGCTTTTCAACACTGCATTGAGTTATTGATGGTTAACACTGGAGGTTCGTATATCTCCTATGAGTGTTAATTTGATTTTTTACTCTTTTGCTGTGTAGAGGGCTGAAAAGCAGACAATATGAGGTGCCGTTACACAGCAAATATGAAAGTGTAAGTTTACACTTCAGTGTTAAGATCAACTCTGAGTGTTGCGTTAACATTACACAGTAACTACTGGATAAGTGTAATTGAGTCACTCTTCACACACCAGGAAGTACCTCTCACTCTACACCTCATCGTGTCAGTTTATGGCCAATAACACAAACTTAAACTTCATCAACTGAAAAACTTGAACAAAACAACTAGAACAACTAATTTTTACTCTCGTGAACTTCTTTAATAGTCATAAACATGCAAACACATCATTTCTGCAGGATTACCCAGGATTCCTTGCTGTGAAAATACTGGTCTGTCTGACATGAGGTGGAAGAGGGCGGGGCTTTTCAGAATACTTCTTTCAACACTGCATGGTGTCATTTAACAACACTGTTAAGTGTTATATAAGACTTAACAGTGGGCGGAGCTTATTCAACACTGTCCAGTGTTGAGACAACACTGAGGAAATCAACACTGTGAATTAACACCAACACTGAAAGTCAGTTTACTCAATAAGTGTTAAAATAACACTAGGGGGAGTTACGTGTAACACTGACATTTTAACACTCTTAACACTGGTTTTTACTGTGCATGTGGCGCTCATTGGTGCATTTTGGTGGATTTTTTTCTATGTCTAAGAAGATTTTTAGAAACTTTTTTTTAACTTGTTACAGTAAAAAAAAAGTTTACATGTTAACTTTGCCTCATTTGAGGCATGAAAGCTCAAAACTTGGATTGTTATCGACACTGAGAAGTCGACAAATAAAGTCTTTTTTACGATTAAGATGCCCCCCCCTCCCCCTCCCACAGGTAGTGACTGTGATGAAGAAGATGTGGAGTTTGAAGCGTCTGACAGCGACGAGTCGTGGACCACAGAGAGCGCCATCAGCTCTGAGTCTATCCTGAGCTCCATGAGCATGAACGGAGGAGACGAGAAGCCTTTTGCTTGTCCTGTTCCAGGCTGTAAAAAGAGATACAAGGTATATTCTTTTCTTTTTTATATATATATTACCTTTTGGAAAAACAAAGCCTGGGCGATGTTTTGAGCCTGCCATTCAACACCACAAGAAAACTAGAGACAGAAACGAGCGAAACAATTTGGTTTCTTTCCACTCAAATGAGACAAACAGTCTTTTTGTCCACAGTGGAAAAGAGGGGCTTTTTTGTGAACAGCACAACAACTTAGATGCATACATAGAGTCCACTTTAGTGATATGGAGTTTTATAGGATTTTCCGTCCACATCTGGTGTGTGCGGTTGGGATAAAATCTGAGCAGCCAGAGAAAATTACTTTGCTGACGTGAATGACAGAGTTGTAGGAAATGACTGAGTCTGAGGTTGAAGGCAGCAGTTAGCAAATGTTTGAGACCAGAACCTCTTCTGGGGACTCATAGCTCTTTTGGGGGTCAAAAAGTAAACATGAAATATAAATACTTGATAGTATCAAGTTGATACTAATGTGCACTAGTGTGGTGCTCTTTTATCTTTGAGTTAATATTGTTTGACAAGGATTTATTTTTCAAAATAAATATCTATAAAATTAAAAGGAAAAAAATTGTATAGGTCCTCTGGACGGGTTCTTCTTTAATGAAACGTTTCGTCTCTCTTCCAAGAGACTTCTTCAGTCTGAGAGTGAAGTCCTAGTCCTTCACTCCTAGTCTGTTTGGTTTACCCAAATTTCACAAACAGGATGTACCGGTAAGACCCATTGTCAACATGATCAACT